CTACTTTCACCCTTGGTCATCATGCCCCCCCCCCCCCCCCCCCCGCGTTGATCCTGAGCCACGTTCAACAACCATACTGAGTCCAACCAGCACCTATCAGGTGACTGCCCCAAAAGAACGCAGAAACGTTAAACTTCACAACCAGCACCCATGTCCTATCTCAAGCCAGACAGCTCTAGCAAAAGCAGCCCCATGCACTTGCTTCATCCATGATCTGCTGGAATTTGCATTCTGGTTGTGGGGAGACTATGGGGAGAAAATCACTGCAAACAGCTGCTTCTGCTTTTTGATCTCTCGCTGGTTTTACAGCTCTTGTACCTTTTCGTGAAAACAGAGAAAATGACTCCGTCCCTTCCCTTTAAAAAAGTTGTTGCAATTCCCTTCTCAGTTCTGTGTTCTCAAGGCCACATCACCAAAAACCAAAAGGAACAACTATTTTCTCCACATCAGTGAGGAATCTGCTCACTTCCGGCTTGTACAAATACTGAAGAATTCAGAAATTGGTAGGCAAAATGCTTATATTTAGAGTGGTGGCCCAACCAACATCATATAGGCTCTTCCCTTTCCTCAGAGGAAGAGGGAGTGGGCTTTTGGTTAGTGAATGCTGCCCTACCAGCTGAATTCTTCCTCGTCAAAGCTGAGCTGGGGCCCAGAGCTGCTCCATCATGAGATCCACGTGAGAAATACAGGGGAGGCTAGAATCGCACCTTGCTTTCAATATGCAGCTCAACGCAGAGCTGATCTTGCAATCCCAGTAAGGAAAAAGTCCAAAGAAGCCAGAGCCAGTCCCCGTCCCTTCTCAACCGTGGCAGTCCAGATTACAGACCTGCTCAGCGGTGGAAAATACAGGACCAACTCCTGGTTCTTCAAAGACAGATGCCTCTTGGGCAAGTCACCTCATCTAATTGTACCCACCTCCAAATTGAGGTTTACAGCACTGCAGGTAGGGAGGGTAGAGACATGCCGTAATGCGCGAGCCACACAAACAGGTCAGGCATCTGCGGGAATGGCGGTGACCCTGCAGAGAGGCTGTCCCAGACTCCAGGTGGACTGGAAGGAAACAGATGAGGAAGAATGCAGTGCTGCTCTTCCTCTTCCACCCGCAGAGACCACACAATGCAGCCAATTTATTCTCGCCATGGCCAGGTGATGTATGGCTGATTACAGGATGAAGTCTGATGATCGGATCTATGGAGAACTTGCTCAGATTTTAAGCTATTAGGGCTCGGCACAGTTTTAACACACCCTCTTTTTCTTCCTGACCCCCCCACCCCATCCCTTTGGAAACATGCAAATTAAGCCAGTGTTAATAGCTGAGGTTTTTATTTAAAGTTTTTTATATACAGTAAAAGTGTCACAGATAAATCTGCGACAATCAGACAAGACAAATGTAAATCTCTCTCAACAATTAGCAGCTTAAGATCTATAAACTACAGTGTTACGTTCACAAGTGTCATTTCTGTACTTTTCAACCCGTGCAAGTGAGTTTTTCTGTTTATTTTTTTACACTTTTAAAACACACTTACAGCTAAGTCAATTGCCTACTACTATACCACCTGGCATACACAACACAGACACACAGGGTTTTTAACTCTTTAGCCACATTCAGAATTCACTTAAAAACTGGCAAAACTACCCAATCTTGAACCCCTTTGTAGCTTGGCTTCTTTTGTTATAATGCTGCTTTTTTAATTAAAAAAAAATGCATATTTTCAAAGCTGAAAGACAGTGCTTTTCTGTCCCAGTGCAACATGTACAGAACTCAACATTTAATCTGATCAGACCCTAAGAACTCATGGGCTTGGAATAAACCAATGAAATAATTGGTGTGAGCATGCTCAGTATCATTAAACTAAACTAATGAGGCTGAGAGAAAAGAAAACTTAATAAAATTTAAAATGGTAAATTTTTTTGCATCAAGATTTTCTTTCTTCTTTACATCTAGAAAGCAAATGGGGGAAACAGGTGAACTTCATTGGAACCATAGAATTTCAATGAAGAGCTGCTGCTTTTTGAACTAACACAGTCCGTTATATTCTTCCCTTTTTAGATGCCGAGTTGATATGTGCTAAACATATCTAAGCAATTTCGGAATCGTTTCAACTCTGAATATGAAATGTTTTGGGAAACATTCTGCAACTCAGAGATGGTCACTAAAAAGTTTACATCCAAAGGAAGGCTAATAAAAGGTACTCACACGCACACTCACATCCATGGCAGAAACTGTCTTCTACATGTCATCCAGAAACGCTTCATCAAGAAAGCAAACACAACCACTTACAAGGAAAGGGAGCCTTAAAGCTAGAATCACATTTCCAACAATATAATCATTGTTAAGCTATCAGAAATCATCACAGACCTTCAAATTGAAGAGGGAGGAAAACCCCAAAACGTTCTGCTAATGCAAAAGGCAAAACACACGGCAGTTGTGTTAGGATATGAAAAGTGGATGCAGCATCATATATGGCATTACTGCAGACAACTTTCTGGAATGGAAGAAACTGTCGAGAGAGAAAGAGACAGACAGACAGACAGACATTGTCCAGAACCATATGTACATGGCCTTCACCAAACAGTTTTGAGGTGATAAGTTTCTATTAAGCCTGCGCCTTCTGGCAAATTAGCAAATGGTATTTACTGAAGACAACACAGAGTTGAGACACTAAAGGAAATTAGGATATAAAGAAGAGGGACAAACACTTCCTTCAAATACTACAGACGAGTGGCACCGAGTGTCCAGATCCATTGGCTTTCAACTCCTTCTTGCTTTGACCACATAAAAACCTATCACGAGCAATCCTAGCGTGATCAAAACTGACAAAAACAGAGGTGCAAAGGCCAGGTTTCAGAAATCAAGGCAACAAAGCTTTTCAGTTCTGTGCCAAATCAGTTCTTACTGTTATGCACACCTTTGACCTTTGTTTCTGACAAAAACTATGTAATGGGAAGACAATGGTTACCCATGTAATTTGAATCAGCCAGAGAAGGGTGGTAAACAGAACAGAGTTTCACTGGAGCTAGAAGCATGGTCTAGGGAGGGAATGTTTATGCAATCTTTGCTCTGTCTGCAACTCTGGAAAGCATGATTATTTTTGGCTTGAGTCAGTTGCAATTGGCAATTTATGTTTTAAGTAGGACAGGAGCAGATTAGCACACATGGTGACAGAGAAAGGTGTGCTGGGATCCCTGGGGAGAGGGGTACCTGAGTTTCCTGTGACTATGGAAAAAAATAGACAGACTCTCTGAAGGAAGAAGGACGGTTGGACGGCAGAGGGCTTGCCACCACTGGCAATCAGAAGACCCTCAAGGCTGTTAACCTGGTTTGAGGGAATTTCTCAGAACCCAGAATCTCCATCATAGCATAAAGTCCCAGGCTTCTGTTTATATATATATATATATATGATGTACATGTTCCATATATGTATATGTATTATTTCCACTGGTTTAGGTCACTTGGGCAACATTTGGTTCCTAGAGGGAACTTAAGCCTGGAAGGAAGGAAAACAGTAAGATCTAACTAAACACCATAAATGGTTTTGAAAGAGAATCCTGGAGTCTTTTTGGATTTCACGGAGAAGGAAGTTACAGTGAAAGGGACACCAGTTAAAAAAACAGCGTAGGGCAAATGCAGATTCCTTGGACATGGAGCCTGCCTGCCGGTACCAACAGGTCACCAGCAACAGCACGTTGCTAGGACTTGAGAGTTACATTGGAAGCTGACATTTCCTTTAGAGCTTTGAAAAGGTATCTACACCAAGTACTTGCCCCCATGGCTGAAGAAGAGGATGCTCTCTGTGGCACACCACACAGATGCAGAGTACAAAGAAGATCTCTACACAGACACACAAATGATCTTACCAGAGCCTGACAGGAGGAAAACTTTGGTTTCACTTTTTAGGGGTTTATTTAAAAATTAAATCAGAACTATTTCTGAGACAACCACTCTTTTAAGTGGACTGTTTATTCAGTATTTCTTTCCTTAAAAGAACCTGTCTTTTCCCTAGGAAGGGATGAAGAGAAATTCCTTATTCTTGTCCTGAGGCCAGGAATTAGAGTTGATGTGGAAATGAGAAATATAAACATACTCTCCTTCACATCTGGAGAAAGAAAGAAAAAAAAAAAAAAAAAAAAAGCCCTGCATGACAAAAATGTGTGGAGAAGATAGATGTTTTTCATGATGCTGCATCTGTATGCTCCGGAGGACAGATAAATGGCATATGAATAGCGCTGCGCTCCAGACAGGCTGGCACTAGAAACTACTCTCTGCCCTCCTCAAAACTGTTTCAGGACAAGACGGCTCACAATTATTCACGCATTTCTTCATTTAAAAACATCACTTCTTTATTTAAAAGGAAAAAAAAAACCATAATGACCCTCCCAACCCCTTCCAAAAAAACCCCCAATAATAATAATAATAATTATAATAAAAAATCCTATTAGAAACAATAAGGAAGCACTGAGAGTTTGAGTATTACACTCTTCAAGTATGCTGTTCGGATTTTTTTTAAATCTGTGAATATACATATATAAAAAAAACCTTAAAAGTGCGACCAAGGGCTTCTGCTTAAAGATAAGTATTTCAAGGACTACTTCAAAATACTGTAGCACGACTGTGCAGTTACTGTGTATGGCATGAGGCTTCCACTTCATATGCTTAGCAAAGTTAGCCAGCCTTATAGAAAGTTATTGTAAGTCAGGTTAGCACAAATGGTGAACCCAGATGCTGAGCTGGGAAAAGAGATCCACACGTTGTTGTTTTTCTCTTGTTAAGGAAAGAAACCACTCTGAACGCATACATTTGGACATGGAATGTGAGCAGACTTCACAGTAAAAGTTTAGTGTTACAGGTTTGCTGCGGTACCTTCATTCAAGGCTGTGCACTAGATTTAGCTTTGCTCATCTTAAGCTAACCACATTCTCTTCTTCCTGACAGGTTTAGTACAGTAGTTCAAGCCACAATTTAAATTGCCCATTGGTATGCTCCAAATTTCTGTATTTTATTTATTTCTTTTGTACACTTTAAAGAATCTTAAGATTTGCATCCAAAGAGAACCATGCTACATAAAAATTATCCAGGATTCTCGCCAAAAAGAGTTCTTGAATAAAATCTAAAAAATACTATTGCAATGCATCTCGCAGAGAAAAAACGTTATTCTAAATGTAAACAAATTCACTCGGACACTTTAAAACTTCAGCGGAGTAGTTGCTGACTAATCTTTGCCACGCTTGCTCACCGAGAGCGCCGGGAGGAGGGTGATGCAGCCAATCCTGCCGCCATCATCTGGGGGGAGACAAGAACCGTTCCAAGTAGCCGGTGATGGCGTCCCAGTGCTTCCACAAAAAGGCAATAAAAACCACTATAAATAAAGTGCTGAACGTCCTATTGCGAGTCTTCATGAGTGGCACGACGCAGTTGGCCACAGTGGAGACGAAGACGAGGAGGACAGCCATGACAGCCAGGAGGATGTTGATGAACTTCCCCAGCAGGTTCCTGGCCGTGGCATTCTCCAGCCCCTCCAGCTGCACCACTTGCTGCTGCTGCTGCTGCAGCTCCATCTTGGAGATGCGGGTCTGGCATGCTTCCAGTGCCTCCTGTCGGCAAGAACACACCGCTGGGTTGCCGGCACCCCACAAGTCCACCCCAGTGGTGGACAGCCCACGGCTCTTAACTTACCGATTAGGTCAGACCAGGGCCACCCTCCCTCATGCCTTACGCACCTCCTGCAGGACATGAGTCACTACACTGATTTCATACCCTGCAGCGGGAATAGAGGAAGCTGTGCCATTTCATGTGATTGAGGGTGAGGAGCCCCTCATTAACTAGGTACTGCCATTTGTAACACACCACGTCATCTCGTTTACACCAGAGAGGCTCGACAGAGATGACAGGCTGGGGCAGAAGTCAGGCTTCGTTAAAACACACACTTCAGCTGCCACTTTGCAGTGTCAGCTGCCTGTCCCTGCACGTGGTGCACTGGTCACCTGAGACCTTACCATCCTTCCTGCCTTGCCGTCAGACCCAGAGGGAGGAAGATGCTGACAGCCCCCAGCAATCAGACAGCCTTTGTCCAGAAAGGGGGGGGGGGGGCTACCCAGTGAGCTGCTCACTTTAGTTTTGGTTTCAAGAGACCACTGAGGGGACAAAGGTACTGTGTCCAGCCAGCACTCTTCCTCCTCTTCCTCTTCTAGGACGCGCATTCCCACAGCCTCCCATTTCCATCACTTTCCTTGCAGTGGCTCGTGCTTATGCGACCCTCTCTGAGCCCATTCAATTCTCTAGTCAACCTGGCAGAAAACTAAGTCAACAAAAACAACTAACCAAAAACGCCTGGCCACATTCTGCTTCCTTAGTGAGCTGAATGAGCTCAGGGAAATGTTTGAGGAGCACCAGGGCTGGGACTGCACAGCTGGCGTCACAGGAGGAAGATCTCCTCCTCCAGACTGCAGCAAGCTGTGGCACTGGCGTAACTCCAGGTGACATTGCAAGGGTTGGAGAAAGCAGATGTCTAGGAGAAGGATAAGCAGCATGAGATTTATGAAACTGCCTCTAGGAAGAGGAAGGAGAAGACTATTCTGTACAAAACAACATCTCTAAAGCACTGTTGACTTGGGTGTGATTGTTTTCAGACCTTTTCACCATGCTGAACCTCAAGCAGACCAACCCAACCTGCAGGACAACACTGGCGATATGCAGCAGGTGGGCTAGGGATAAGGAGGAGGGGTTTTAAGACAATTAATGCAATGAGACATTTCTGCTCTTGGAGATACAAAGTTACAATATTTCCATTAATCCTCCCTCAGAGTTGCTCTTCTCAGACCTAAAGGCCTGAGACCTAAAGGCCAACTTCGAGTAACATCTAGAAGTCTGCAGCAGGCAGCAGTCTCTCTCAGACTGATCACTGAAATAGGAACTAGGACTCCTTGCCTACAGACTAAGCTCTGTCACTGCTCCTCTGCAACATCAAGCCCATGCTCTTAACTAGTTTTTCATGCAAGAAAACTTAACACCTACCTTTTCCCCAGCAATGCTGAGGAATAGTCTGTCCCAATTTGCAAGTTTACACTAAAAGTGCTGAATCATAAAATGAAGATTAAAAAAAAGCTATTGAGAAATCCCCACTTCAATTTAAGTTTTCAACCTTACTTCTTCCTGCCGTGTTAAACTAGAGAGGAGAACAAAACCTGAATACTGTAACATTCCCCCCAAGCAGAGCCTCCTGTTTACTCTGTCGGAGGCCATGGCACCACTGTCCACAGACGCTCTTTTATTTTAACCTTAACTTAAAGGTCATTGTCACCTGTTACATTTCTCTGACATTGCATCATGTCTGTGGAGGTCAATGAAACATGAGGGTTTCTCTTCAGTTACGGTCCCTGAAAGTACAGGGCAAAACTGATCAGCCTCCTGTAACAGGAAGCAACCTGGAAGGACATTGCCTCAACGGGACCTGCAGCTGGACCTACAAGTGTGCCAAAAGCACAGCCTGCTCTGTCTCCAGAGGAAATCGCCTGGCTGAAGCTCCTCAGGGGTAGAAAAGAGGGAGAACTTTGACCTACAATTCTCTGCTCACGCTATAAATATCTCACATCAGCAATCAAAACTGAGATGCCTGCTAAAACTAGCACAAGTATTTAAAATGGATGATAGATCTGTTTCTGAATAGGCCTTTCTTTATAAGGTTTAGTGGCTGCTCAGATCATTTCCCAGGTCTTTTGCTCTGTGGAAGGCCCTCCAACTCCATAATCTCTGTTTCCATAGCTTTGGTCTTTTACGTACTGAAGGAAACTTCTCTTTTAAAAATACCTCCTTATTTGGGCAAAACCAACAGAAAGAATTGCTTCCTGACTCAATGTGGTGGATACACAAAGCCATTTTTCCTTAGACATATGTGATCATTGCTCTAAAATTAGTGACACAGAAACACACCCTAGGGTCAGTTTACTGGGAACGCTACTGTAAAAAAAGTGTTCACGTCATGGCCCATTAGTTTCTAATACCCTACAAAACCCTGTACAAAAAGTGGATGCAGGCTTCCACTTTGCTACAACTTATTTAAAAACGCTGCTCCGGACCAAGTGGCAGGCTCCCTCTGCAGATGAACCTGCCTGCTGGTGCATGGGCACAGCCCTTCTTTACAAAAGAAGTTACTTGGAGAGATACCCGAGGTCAGAGGCCCTTTCAGAACTCGTCAATATGCAGTTTAGCAATAAAGCTACAAGGATTAAAACCAAACATTGAATCGCAGAAGTATTTCAAAAGTGAATGAGTTTCAGAAAGAGCAGGTGGAAGACAGGACTTGAGTGTCCTTGTTTCTGTCACCCACCTGGATGTCCCGGGCTCGCTCATAAGACTGATAGGCAATTTTCTCCTCCATGCTGGCCAGCTCCTGTTTTAAATTGAGGATCTCATTCTGGTGGAGCTCAGTCAGATCATTTAGCTGCTCTTCGAGTCTTTCACATCTAGAAATGATACACATGGTATAGTAGCTTTAATGAGAAGAGGATGGCAAAATTACACCACTAACAATCAAGCAATGAACATCACAGACTTCTTACTGAAAACTAGTGTGGCTACCTCAGTCATTACAAAAACACGCATTACAATGTAAGGTGCTCTCACTGGGAATTAAAGAAATCCTTTCTACCAGGTAAGGTATGTTAATCATCTTTGTATCCTGGGGAAAAACACACAGAGCAGTTAAATGACAACTGTCAAGTGATGCAAGAAATCAAACACAGAATTAGAACAGAGTAAGTTATTCCCCAAACTTTTGCATAAACCAAACAGTTCCCTTCTAATACCATAAGGTCGTAAGCATTTTCATCTACACTCGGAACAGTAAGAGGCATAAAAATGACACAGAAATTAAACGTGACCGATGCCTCAGAGAACATGATGGTCCTGTCTGATCTTTACATGTGAGATCACATGGATATCTTTGATTTTTTTTTTTTTCCTGTATCTCTCATGAATGATTCAGCTTAACTAGCAAAGACCATCATATTATTTACAACGAGGGCACATGAATCATTAACCTGCAGGCTTATTTTTCAGTTTGCTACTAGTGAATGGACTGGGAGCAGTCCTGAGAAAGAGGATTGCCCAAAAAACTGATCTACAACAACTCTGAGAGATACAGTTTTGTTTCTCATTGAGGGAGTTTTAAATTTACTTCAATGATCGCTCCATAATGTTATTTTAGCACTTTCAAAATACATTAGGGATACTTTGCATTTGTATGTAGCACATAGGTTTTGGAATTTCAAGTCCAGATTTACAAGCAACTCATGCTTCAATACCCTTTTAAAATCAGGCAAGTACTTGTATTACTTCCAAAAGGTAAACATACGCAGAGAGCTAGGCCGCAGCTCAAGGGCTGGGAGCAGAGAGCTGGGCACCATCCATCCCATCCTCTTCCACCACACATCCCACTAGTTTCTCATTCTTGTTTCACTACGAGCGACAGCTCCAATGGTAACTAAGGTATGGGTACAGCCACTGTGGCCGTTGGGGTTTTTCCACTGTAATTTCCACTGACTGTATTCTCACCATAACAGCATGGAAAAAGCTTACTGTATAGCTCTTATCATCTGACCCTTGATATTAATAACTGAGGAATTCAACACAGAGATAATTCCCGCTTCCATGTTTGTTTCAAGATTTTTGGTGCTTCACAAGCTAAATATTCAGAATCTGTAGGCACAAGCTAGCCTTTAAAAATAGTCTTGGGGTTTTGTTTTTAATTGAAAAGTCTGAAGAGAATTTTCATTTACATTCCCAATGTAATATTGCTTTAAACTAAGAAGGAGTCAGACATAGCATGACAATTTCCAACAATGAAACACATGTGGTCAACCCGCAGTGAGACTAAGACAACCACCAGCTGACACAGCTCGGCCCAGAAAGGTGCCACAATAGCTGCGCAACCGAGACAGGACACACAAGAGAACTGGTTTCCCAAGAACGACAAGCTGCAAACAAGGGAATAGCCATGTGAAGACTGGCTAATGAAGAAGGAGCCCAGATAATTAATATTGCCATTTGTTCCCACCCAACTTAAAAAAAACTACTTGCCAACAACCAAGAAATCACAACTAAATCCACTCCAAGCCCCAAAGGCAACATAAATTATTTGAAATATATTCAGTTTGTTAATATATTACAAAATTCTCTGGTGGGTTTATTACACAAAAAGAGACTTAAGCATTTCTGAAAATATCATAATTATGTCTTTTAACCTCCTCCCACATAAACGCCCTTCATAAAACAGCTCTTGCCAGGCAGCTTAAATCCTGTTCTCTTAACAAGAAACAATTGTATTTGAATAACTTCAGAACTACCTCAATCTACAGGAAACATAAGGAAACTCTGCAAATCCGTATAGTTAAGAGTTTAAGCATAGTATGATTAGCAAAAGGGTTGGCTCCAATCCTCCCTGACCTGAATGCAGGACTACCAGCTTGTTCCCAAACCACACTTCATTTCACTGCTCAACCCCAGAGCTTTTGCAGTTTGCACCCAAGAACCACCTGCACTTTCAGAAACTGGCGTGTTAGGCAACTGCTGGAACTGGGTTATTTAAGAAAAAAAAAAATAAAAACACAACCTACCCAGACTTATTTTTGAAATTACACTACCTCCATTCATCTTCTTTTCACTCCTTGTCCCATTATCTACAATTTAGAAAATGATTTTTTTTTTCTTGCTGTTTTCTACTGGTGTTCAAATTGGAAAAGCTAAGAGAGGTTTATGTGACTTACAGGGCCCAAAGCCAGGGTTTTCCTGTTGAAGGATGGCTCACGTTTAACTCATGTATTACAAAAATAAAAGGGATAGGACACCTGTCAAGAGGTTAAGATTATACTTACACTTCCCTCTCTAATGTATGAGTGCCAGTGTCTATACAACAGACTCTAAACTTGCCTGTGAACACTGCAGTGCCTTGAATGATCAAATCCCACTTTATTTCAGGTACGGAAAATATCTCATTCGAGTCCAAGAATTATTTGTTCACCAGCTAAAATGTGAAATTACTAGCCTGTAGATTAACAAGCTCCAGCACAGAAACTTCTCTGTGTAACAGATCAGTGCTGACTGTCACAAGTATCTCATCATCAGAGATGTTCATACCGACGACACGCAGTATACTGCTGGGGTGCTCGGCTGAAGTACGGAATATGGGAACACTTCCTTTAAAAAAGCCACGTCAGATTTCCACACGTTTTCTGAGGCTTGCTGTTTGAGAATCAGGGAACTGATTTGAAAAAGGCTAACACACACAATTACGACCATCTCATTTTTTAAGAGCTTTAAGGCATTTTAAAGTAATAGCTGCAAAATATATGGCTAATACAGCATATGTAAGAGAGAGACATGATCATAAAGGCATTTTATCTGCACTCAGTAAGTGCTCTGGAAAGTAAAGAAACTCTGACCAAACTGACGCTAAAAGATCTTCACAGTACACTGTGAACAGAGTTTAATACCTCTCTTCAAGCCTCCCTCAAGATGGACCTTTTTTTTTATAGCTACGTCATACCAAATCTCATCTGATCTTTATTTTTATGCTACTGAACACACTGCTTTCAAGAGCAGAGTAAGAGCTAAAAGCAATATCTATTTGCAATATACTCTAAGTCTGCTATCTAGATGCCACATGAAGGACAGAGCTTGCTCTCCAGGGAGCACGAGTTGCTCTGGGTGCCCCCATCATGCTGTGCTTCCAGCTCCGAACCTCCCCTGGCAGAAGACGACAGCTTTGCAGGGACGTTTCAGTGCTTTCATGGCTGGGTGAGGATCCGCCTGACTCAACACACTGCCTTTGCTGCGTGGACACACTCCAGAAAGGCCTCTTCAGCCCTTCTAAACCTCAAAGGTTTAGCAAGTTTGATCTAGTGATTTTAAAATAAATCATGAGAACAGACTGAAGTCCAACAATCAGACTACAACAAAAATCAGATAAATGAAAACACCAGCGTCTAGCATTTTGGCTGACAGATTTCTCCTGACAGGAACGTGGGAGACCTAAATGCCCTTTCCAAGGATGCTGGGCTCGGGAAGAAACCCAAACCCTCAGATTGGCCACACTCCAAATATATGAGCTCATGATTTCACCACGTACAAACAGGTTCCTAAAGGGACACGCATGATGAAAATACTCA